TTAGTAGGTCATGATCGATGATGAACGTGGTCGTTCTTGTATATTCAGTAGGTCATGATCGGTGATGAACGTGGTCGTTCTTGTATATTTAGTAGGTCATGATCGATGATGAACGTGGTCGTTCTTGTATATTCAGTAGGTCATGATCGGTGATGAACGTGGTCGTTCTTGTATATTTAGTAGGTCATGATCGATGATGAACGTGGTCGTTCTAGTATATTTAGTAGGTCATGATCGGTGATGAACGTGGTCGTTCTTGTATATTTAGTAGGTCATGATCGATGATGAACGTGGTCGTTCTTGTATATTTAGTAGGTCATGATCGGTGATGAACGTGGTCGTTCTTGTATATTTATTAGGTCATGATAGGTGATGAACCTGGTCGTTCCTATATTTCGTAAACCACGAACATGTACTTGACTTTACGATATGTTTACAGAGATGGTAGTATCTTCAAGAAATAGTAAACGTTGCGTTTACAGAGATGGTAATATCGTCAAGAAACAGCCTCCTGATTTGTGCCCTCCGCCTACTTGTCAAACCTAGAACATTATGGGTTGCTGCAGCTGTTACATTGAATGGTGTTCGTTACGGTACGGATGGTACTGTTTCCTACTGGTCAGTAGTAATGCATTAGGCAGGTGGGGAAGCCTTGTGTGGCACGTGGTGGTCACCTGGCAACTCCTAACCAAGCGTGACCTCCCTATCCTCCCTCCCACGAACACAAAAGACACAATCTATACGATTTTTACATTCATTGATTTACTGGTATTCAAAAGGCAGTTTTAACGATGTATTTTCTGGAGAAGTAAGAATTAACTTCAATGATATCCGATAGGTGGCGAAATGTTTAAAAGTTTTTAGAGCGTTATTTTACAATATTAATAATGAAAAACGGATGTATAAAGAACCGCGCTTTTAGTTAATCGGCGCTGATATGGGGAATGCGTACACGAACTTGGTATCTTTCAAAAACTGGGTATTTCAAGATGTTTAAAACTTTTACAGTATTGTTTATCCGGTTCTGTTTCTTTTGTCGTTAAGAGCAAAGTTACACAATGGGCTATTTGTGCTGTGCTCACCACGGCTTTCGAAATCCGGTTTTTAACGTTATAAGCCTTCGGGCTTACCGCTGAGCCACTGGGGAGGGGGGGGGTGGCGTTAGCTGTTTTTACTGAATAATATTTAGTTTTGAAAATACACCTTCAAAAAAAATGTAATTTTAAAATTAATAGTTAGTCGCGTTTAGTTTTCAGAATACACCGAGGGGGGGGGGGCAGATCTGGGATTAACTTTGACAAATACTACTCAGTTTACAGAAAATACTAGAAAGATCGGTCATGGACCTAGAAACTTAAGAAAAGGTCATGTTTTTGTTTATATTATTTTACCTACGAGTCTAAATTTGGAATGGGATCGAGACAGCGGGTGTACCTTTTTTTACTTGCTCTGTTGATGAGCAGACAAGGGTGTAGACTGTAAGAAAAGAGCCATTGACGTAGTCCCAGACGGTAGAACCCACCCAGAGACCGTGGGTAGCACCCCAGTCTTCATGTTTTTAAATAGTTACATCTTTGTTCCACCAGCCTTTTTTAGTCACAACATTACATGTTTTATATTCGCACGATCCTTTGTTTCGAGACTGCGTCAGTAAGGCATATATTTATCAATATTTTTGATGGTGGTCAGTGAATGAAATGTTTTACTTAATAAAGTACAATACTGGAACAACAGGGTTCAACCCGTTAGCCAGATCCGACGTTTTTATGAATCGCGGTTAGAGCTGTTTATCGGCGGCGACTGCTTGCGATAAAAGTTATTTTACTATAGAGGAACCACGCTGGAACAGCAACAAAAACAAAAAAAGATCAGAACTTTCGAGCAGTTTTTTAAAACAATTGAAACATCATTTATATACACCGAAAAACTGTATTATCCGTCACTTGGGGGTAAATAAAAAGTTCGCGGACAAACCATGGTCGTCTACATCCCTATATTGATAAC